TGTGTGTGTGTGTGTGTGTGTGTGTGTGTGTGTGTGTGTGTAGGCAGCGTATTTAAAGAACATTGGAAACACATGTCTGGAGCCTGATAAAAACATTTTAGGAACCGGGTAATTTGGCTTGATCTTTACAGTCACACAAACACACAAACATGCTCCACTGTATGGAGGAAGTTTGACCTTCTGAGAAACAACATTTACGTGCATTAAATACCTCGACCAGAAACACTCAAGAACTTCAATTTAAAATAGTTAGTTAGTTTAGTTCATTTAAAAATACTCCCATAATCCCCAAAAAGATACATTGTGAGCATAGAACCATATCGTATCTACTGCACTGGCTACAATCTATGCAATAGACGTATATAAAACATATTTTTGACAAATGTAAAATTGCAGATATACAATATGTACAATGCTGTGATTATGCATAAAAAACTAAATCTGTTAGGTCAGGCATCATGGGGAGATAGCTCTTAAAAAGTTCAATGAGGTGATATTTATTCATTCTTTTTGGATGCAGAAAATACACCATGTTGCATTAACTGGAAATACTTTTATGCTCCTAATATCGATTTTTGCAGAGCCTAAACTTCACTATGTGCTGTGTAAATGTGTGACAGTAAAAGTTGATTTAGCAGTAGTAGTCGATTTGTTTTTCTGCACAGGGAAAGTGGTGAGGGAGATCTGCATCATCCCAATAAATAAAGACCAATCTAGATTAATGAATGTGAAATAGAATATATTCCACAGGTTAATCACAAACCTACATTGTGATCGCCATTGGCATTTAAAATGAGTGATTACAGAGAGTTTGAGGGGACAGAAATGTGTCCTCTTAGTATACAACTCCCTGTGAAGGCATGTTATTGATTCATCATTGATTTGGCATTGTTTGCCTCGTTCACACTACAATGCTAGACTGGTGTTTTGAAACATATCCACTGTGGCGAGCGTATTTGAAAAGCTCAGTTTTTTTTAGGTGTGAAAACCACTGGCTTAGTGTGGACATGGCAGAAAAAAGAGAGTCATAAAAAGAGAGAGCGGTGACCATCTGGCTCAGGTCAAACTCCCACAGAGGGTGATGATCGTAGTGTGAGTGTGTGTGTGTCTGTGTGTGTGTGTGTGTGTGTGTGTGTGTGTATGAGTCCCCTGCAGTGAAAGGTGATGACCGCAGCTGTGTGTTTGACCTCAAAACTGCAGGAGGCCTCCCCCCTCCTAATCCTCTTCCTTCTCCGTGTTACCCTTTTCCTCCCTCTGCTCCTATTTTTGATCTTCCTCTTTCTTCCTCCTCTGTTTTCTTTATTCCCATCTCTTGATCCATTCTCAATCAAAAACACACCTACAGGATACATAAAGTTCACTGAATACAAGCCTTGCAAGCAAAAAGAGCTCTGTGTAAAGCTTAGCGGGGCAGCCATTGTGGCTTCACCTCCTCCATTACTTTGCATCAATTAGCACATCACCTCCAAGACTGCTGTGTGTGTGTGCTGTGGGGGGAGGGGAAGTAAAGGACTATTGTGTGAAGTCAAGAAAACAACAGAGATTTACTGTGTTGCTCGACTCAATCTGTTGAACCCAGTTTATCTGGGGGGGTCAAATACAGCATCAATATTGTTGCTTTTACCTACAGTGTAACACCGTCGTACGTTTCGGTTCTCTGCTTCCTGTGCACCCTAGAACAGATGCTCTCGCAAACTTTTCCTAACTACTTGTGTGTTTTGTGCATGTTTTTGTATTGGGTTTTTCCACAACCACAAATCCCCATTTGTTTTGTTCTTTGCAGAGCACTGAAAAAGTGTGTTAACCCCCCCCTCTTACAATCAGTCCCTTGACATGAAGTAGATGAACTAAACTCTTGGAATAATTTAATGTTTATCGCCGCGACAATAGATGGGGCTCTGAAATTAGCATCACACAAGCTCTCAGTTGAGGTAGAAGGGTCTTACTTTAGTAGTACATAACTTGAGTCTTCCCTCTAGAGGTGAACTCTACTAACCCCCTAACCCTAACCCCTTTCCTACTGGACAAAAAAAACACCTCAAACACCCGCTAACATTTGTCTTTTGTCTTCAGTGGGAAAGGTTACAATCAGCATTCCTGGGTATTTGTTGGCTCCAGCTCCGATTGATGAAAACATGACATCTGGCTTAACACCCTCATTTTTGTCATCTCAGCCACAAATTTCGTCCACCTCCGCCCATGCAGCGCTCGAACACTGTTCCAAATGTATGCACTAATTTTAGTGGAAAATGAATGCCAGGGATTTAAAAAAGGTTCTGGCTAAATATTACCGGCACATAGCAACTAGAGATTAATAGACACGGGGCAGACAACTGCTATACAAACTCCCCCCGCCCTGCCTTTGGGAAAAGAGATCATATCTCCGTTCTTCTACTCTGAGCATACAAGAAAAGACTCAAACTGGACAAACCAGTTCCACACAACTGTCTAGTGTTGAGTGACCACACAGTAGTCACTCTCCTGTTTGAGAATACAGACTGACAAACTCATGGCTCATATAACACTGACTCTGTCAGAAGTTATATCACAAAGTGCATTGACAACACTCTACCAAAATAAATTTACAGTCCCTTCCCAACCAAAGACTATGCATTAATGATAATGTCCACTTTAATCTGGTTGAGTGTGATCCACTGCCTATACTCTGGTGACATGGACCAGGGACTTGACACCTTCCTCTGCAGCTGGGTCCTTGATCTCCTGATGATTAGGCCTCAGGCGGTGAGAATTCACAACTTCACCTCCTCCTCATTGACCCAAGGCACTGGTGTCTTCACATCATAACTCCTTCGCAATATACTGCTCATG